ATGATGGTGTTAGATGAAATTTTAACAACTCAATGAGTTGATTTGCCACCTCTGCTTATAGGACCATATTAATTTACGACACTTATTTTCCATAATTATTTTGTTCGATTTTCAAGTTCAATGACCATTTTTATCTTTATGAGGTGCCTCAAATTTAGAGACCTGATAAAAACTCTTTATTTATTTATTTTATTGGACAAAAGAAGAAGTGTGGTTGACGCACTTTGCTACTAACTTTCATTATAGTCTTAGTTCGGATATACTTGGCTTGACGCTGTCTCTTTCTCCCTTTCTACTTTTTCATCATATCTTGTTCCGCTTTCCATCCATTCCCTTGCAATGCAAGCAAAGTTCCCATGTAAAGAGAAATCAACCACCACAACCACTGCTACTCTATATAGTAATATACATGATGAAAGAATCTAACGGCCTCAATTTTCCAAGTTTTTCATATATAATAGCTACCGGGCGCTACCGATGATATATGTATATCTTTGAATTGTAAATAATGGGGATCTGTTTCGCGAAGCGGAAGAAATCGACGGCAGAGATAGTGCCGCAAAAACAACTGACGACAACAGTCCGACTGTACGGCTCTCCCAGCAGCACAAACTACATCCGATTTGCCCTCAAATACAAGGCGGCGGCTGTCTCACTTCGCTGCGTGGTGGTAGCCAGATCTAACGACGACAACGACGACAACGACGACACCGACGAAGATTATAGAAACTTGGAGGTGGCGATGGAGGTGGAGGAGGGCGGGTCATCGTCGGAGCCAGCTGAGAGGGTTTCAGGGCCACCCAATACTCTGCTGCAGTTGATGGAGGACAGATTCCCTCATCCGCCGCTTCTTCTTCAAACGGGGTCGTCCTCTGAAACCCAAACGACGTCGCTGGTGGCGGCGGTTGTGAAGCTGACTGAGCTGCAACACAGGAGCCTGGCGTGGCACTTGGAGAGGTTGGTGAGGTGGGTTACGGATCTGTTGAAGCGTCCGGGTAAAGGAAGAGGAGGGGTGGTTGATCCGACGGTGGGGAGTGCTCGGATGGAGTTAAGGAAGCTGGGGAGGAACTACTCGCAGCTTTTGGAGCTGATGTTGGAACACGCTCAGATGGAGGAGAGACTCCTCTTCCCCATCTTCAACTACTGTGATCCAGGTCACATCTTTTTTTCCTTTTTCCAGAAGAATATTTACCAATTAAACTTTTAGTTTTTTTTGGTATATATATTTGGAGTAATTAGGTTTTCATCCTTATTTTTACTACTCTATTGATTAAAACCTTATTACTTTTCAATTTTTGATCAAGGTCCTTTGTATTAATAATATCATTAATTATTTCAATAATAAATATTTTTTATTTCTAAATATATTCATTTAATATTAAAAATGTTACAATTAGTATATTTATATTTATGGCTAAATTTTTTATCATATATTTTTATTTTTAGTTTGTACCCATTTTTAATTTGCAACCCTTTTTTAATTTGTACCAATTTTCCTTTCAATTTTAATTTGTACCCATATATTAATTTCTTTTTGTGCCCATATTTTTTAAAGTTTTATTTGTATTGTACCCATATTTTTTTATTTATTTGTACCCATTTTTATTTTTGCTAAATGTACCCATTTTGAAGAATGTACCCATGTTTTGATACAATAACTTTTTGGTTATTTTTTATGAATGTACCCATGTTTACACACACACACACAATAGTATATTTATATTTTAATATTTTTAATCCCATCAATTATGTTTTTTATTTAAAATCTCATTACTATAAACAACTATAAATTTTAAATTTTAATTTAAAAAATATAGTAACGTACATAGAAATAAATTATCAATTAATTTTAGGGACTTGGATCAAAAATTGAAAACCAAAAAAGTTTCAGTCAAAGATTATTCATAATTAGGGACCGCATCCAAAGTCTCCCTATATATTTTTAGGATTGCAAAAATAAAGGTATATGTAGGAATCTTCTATAAATATTTTCCGGCACCTAAACTTCTTGTCATTTGTAAGAATTTCCCATGAATATTATTTTGATGGAGTAAAAAACCATAAGATTATATATGTAAGTGAATATGGAAAGATTTTTCACACATACGCCATACTGTATAATGACATAAAGGGAAAAAGAATAAATTGCCATAAAGCTCGTCATTTTCGAAATTTGAATATAAATTTTTTTATTTACAAGTGAAAAAATACTACTAGATTGTAATACTAAGTGATATAATAATAAATTATTTTAAAAACCCAGCAAATGTCATAGCTTAGCTAAAATGTTGAGTTAAAACAAGGGAACTGTTATTAGCATTCTAAAAATCTCATTCTACACTCCTAAGAATCGTATATTTCTTTCTGATTATAAATTTTTTTTAGGGCAAAATGAAAATTTTAAAATGTTAATAACAATTATTATTAAATAAAGTTAAGATGGTAAACTAACCAAATAATTATGCAGGAATCTGTAAAGCTGCGAATGAAGAACACGCAAGGGACCTACCCATCATGAACGGCATCAAAGAAGACATCAAATCCATTGAGGTTCTTGACATTGGGAGTCGTGACTACAAAGAAGCTCTTTCTAACTTTTCTAAGCGCCTCAAATCACTACAGGTGATCCATGTTAACTGCTTCTTGTTATTGTTTTATTAGTGTTATACAAAGCTAACTAGTTAGTAATTTAATATAATATTAATTGCATGTTTAAATTCATTCCATAATCTTTTTTCATAATTCAAACTATTTATTTTTCTGGGTCTTCATTCAAAGATCTTTCTTACAGAATTTTATCCATATCGAAAAGAGTTTCAATATCAAATTGGGACAAAGAAAAATAGACATGCACAGTGTTGCTAAAAACACAATGAAATGTTTGAGTAAACTGTCATTTAACCCCCTGAACTATCACGTGAGTTTCAATTTCCCTCCTGAACAATTTTTTTAGCCAATTGATCCCCTAAACTATGTTAAAGTGGCCAATTAACCCCCTACCGTTAAGTATCTTTAACTCCATCCAATTTTCTGTTAGAAAGTGTCATGTGCTTGGCACATGACCACCTTTTTACATTTTATGTCTAAATCTTTACAAATAAAACATATAAAACAAATATTAAAAAAAAAAAAAACTTACAAACCCTAAACTTAATCATTCAAAATAATAGAAAAGGTAAGGCTTTTTATATTAACACTCCACAAAATGTTGAATGCACCCCATATTAAAATTTAATATTAAATGACTTATTTACTCCACTATGCAATGACAATTTTGACCTTATTAGGTTTTAAAAAAAAAAAATTATAAATACACCCCAAATCACTTTTAGCGTATTATTTATCTTTTCAACTATCAAAACCCTCTCATCCTCCATTGTTGAACAAAATCCTAACCAATGAAACTACAAACATGTTGATTGAGAAAAATTGTTTTTGACGAATGAAACACGAAATCGATGTTTCTGAAGCTTCACATGAGGTAAGACTTCACATTTTTCATTGTTTTAGTGATTTCGATGACATCGATAATTATTTAATCTTGCGTTTGCTGCATTATTTTTCAATATGAACCCTAAAAGATGAATATGAATATGAATATGAATATATAAGTTTAAATAATGCAGCAAACGCAAGATTAAATAATTATCGATGTCATCGAAATCACTAAAACAATGAAAAATGTGAAGTCTTAACTCATGTGAAGCTTCAGAAACATCGATTTCGTGTTTCATTTGTCAAAAACAATTTTTCTCAATCAACATGTTTGTAGTTTCATTGGTTAGGATTTTGTTCAACAATGGAGGATGAGAGGGTTTTGATAGTTGAGAAGATAAATAATACGCTAAAAGTGATTTGGGTGTTATTTATAATTTTTTTTTTTTAAAACCTAATAAGGTCAAAATTGTCATTGCATAGTGGAGTAAATAAGTCATTTAATATTAAATTTTAATATGGGGTGCATTCAACATTTTGTGGAGTGTTAATATAAAAAGCCTTACCTTTTCTATTATTTTGAATGATTAAGTTTAGGGTTTGTATGTTTTTTTTTTTTAAATTTGTTTTATATGTTTTCTTTGTAAAGATTTAGACATAAAATGTAAAAAGGTGGTCATGTGCCAAGCACATGACACTTTCTAACAGAAAATTGGATGGAGTTAAAGATACTTAACGGTAGGGGGTTAATTGGCCACTTTAACATAGTTTAGGGGGTCAATTGGCTGAAAAAATAGTTCAGGGGAGAAATTGAAACTCACGTGATAGTTCAGGGGGTTAAATGACAGTTTACTCTGAAATGTTTATAACAACAATCAAATAAAATGATTTTTTATTTGGACGAATTTTTGTATGGAGTTGTAAAAAATGAAAGGTTTGGAACTTTGGATGATGAGAGAATATTATACAGTGGGGTCTACGTGATTAGCACTGTATTAAGTCATACAATATAATATTCTACACATAATAATATTACTAAATATATATTTTATTTGGACTTAATATGTAGGAGCGTTATAGACAACACTTTACGGAGGAGGAAAGAGAAGTATTGCCGTACATGGAGGCAGCCGAGCTGAGCAAAGAGCAGCAGCGGAGACTATTGGACGAGTGTTTGGATGTGATGCAACAGTCACACTCATCGCATTTGTTCAATTTTCTCCTTGAAGGGCTACTTCCTTGTGAAGCCATGCACTACTTGGACTTGATCTCCATGTCCACCAACAAACAACGAACAACTTCTCTGCTTCACATGATCATTTAGCTACTTATAACATCTTCCTCGTGCATATTTGTTGATAATTTGTTTTTTTAATTTTTCTTTTTTATGATTATATAGCACGAACAATATTTCATTGAGAAAGTTGGTGAGACTTAGATAAACTTGTGCAGTTCGAGACTTACATAGATAACTAGCCACAAACTCAGATATGCCCCCTATCGATCTTGTTGGTCGGTGGTCTACTAAAGCCAAATTGGTGTTGGAGTAATAATAGAAAATATGGAAGTAACACAAAAATTCCAATAATAATAATCATAAAAGAATTTCACAATATCAATTATATATGAAATTAATATAAACAACAAACTTTAAGGATTTGGATTGTTTGACGAGAATGATTAGGTGGAATCCTTTCCTGATTTCTCCAGATTATTGTTGCTCCTCAGAGAAGAAACCAACGTCAATGTCAGACTTCCCACCGGAGCTACTGTTCGACATCCTATCAAGGCTTCCGCCCAAGGATTTGATTCGATTCCTCAGCGTTTCCAAAGCTTGGAATGCCATCATCCGCCACCACCACTTCATCAAAGCTCATCTTCAACGCTCCATCCAAACCAATTCCTTTCGCACCATTTTAGTCAGGTCAATTGGCTCCCCCTCATCAGATTATTTTTCATCGGCTGTCAACGGCAGCGAAACGTTCCGGACAGTCGTTAAAATTGAGCGGCCGTTGAAATCCCCTGAGAGGTATCAGATACTGGGGTGCTCGATTCATGGAGTGGTTTGCATTTGCAATAGTCTCCGTACTAATGTCGCTTTGTGGAACCCGTCAATTCAAAAGTTTAAGATGATTCCCCTCCCAGCCATTGAGCAGCAGCAGCCATCATCAGATTTACATACATCCCTAGGGTTCGGGTATGATTCAGTTTATGATGACTTTAAACATTTGCGAATTGCGGAGCTTAGTAAGGGAGTCTTTGTGAGTTCTGAAGTTAGTATTTATAGCCTCATATTGAACTCATGGAAAAGGATCAAGAACTTGCCTCGCAATGATTTTAGTACACTGAATGTGTATGACACGGCGCTGGAGTTTTCAAATGGTGCTCTGTGTTGGCTAATGCCGAACAGATTAGATATGTATCGATTCATAATTCTGACCTTTGATCTTGCTACTGAAAAGTATCGGGAGTTTGACACCCCGGTGGATGAGGATTACAGTACCGTCATGGAGTTGGAGGTTTTAGGGGGCTCTCTATGTTTCTGTTCATGATTGGGACACCGGAAATGATGTTTGGATTATGAAGGATTTTGGAGGACCTTGGACCCTTCTGTATTCTATTAAAAAGGAAACTATGACTTGGTTGCTTAACTATTGCCCACCTTTGGTCTTCGCAAAGAACGGTGAAATGGCTCTTTTGAAGAAGGACGAGGAAGCATTTGTTTGGTTTGATTTAAAGGGAAAAATCGGATACCAAGATAATATTTGCGGTCTGCCACTTCGCTTTGATGCAAAGATATGCGAGGGCAGCCTTTGTCTTATTGATGGTGATCCCGTGATTGGTGGGAGGCAGTAGTTCTCTTCTACCTCTAATTTCAACCAGTGAAGGGATAAATTTTTTATTGTGACGGGAGCACGAGACGTGTTTTTATGTAAGTGGTGGGAAATTTTATTTTTTAAATTATTAACTTTTTAACACACATATCCTACCATTTGTATAGTGACACGTGGTGTACCAACTCATGTGTTGGTTACACTAAAAAATCTCTCACAAGGGTTTGTAGAGGTACTCAAAGCAACAAAAGATGACCTTAATTACGGTGGAAGGTGGGTAATTGGCTTGATAGGTTGAAATACAAGTACGTGAACTTATGTGCCTTGCTATGTACGCTTATTGATCTCTCATCTTTTGGCTAAGTGTTTTTTCTATTGTAACAGTATTAACTAGATAGTTTGCTAGTTGTCAGAATTGTTTCAAATCAATCGTTACCTTTCTCGTATGTTTGGTTGGTTGGTTTTCTTCTTGTGTCTGAATAACTGATGATGTGCTGCAATTTCCTGGCATCCGATTGACCGTGTTCCATGGTCTTTTCTCTTGATGTTTGTCCTGTTTCTGTTGAGAGCTTTGTAAGCATATTAATATTCGGAGGACAATTAACCATTTACGGATCAAATTAATGACATGCTTCAGATTCCCTTTTGAAAAAGGAACACACATTTTTCGTGCAACCTTGCTGCAAGGCCTTGAACATGCAACGGAACATGAATGTATGATGTTTTCTTGTTTGTCTCTTTTTGAGGGAGGACTGTCGTAGGTTTTTCTTTTAATTCGTTTACAGCACCTCCACCTCTAACAACCCACTCCACCCCACCCAATAGGCTGGCCCAAAGTGGAAGCCAGCTTTAAGGCCAGCACATAATGGATTGAGCAAGAGACCGGCTTACATGACGCCAGGCTGGCGTCAGCCATGTGAATTTTTTTTTTACCGTTGGCGCGTATGATTCAGGGTGCGCATTCAAGCGTTAAAAAAAAAAAGTCAAAATCTTAAGGGTCACGTGTCCACATTTAGGCTGTTGGATTTCATTTTAAAATAAAAGATTTACACACACACACACACACACACACTTAAACCATCTTTCACAAAAATTGTACTTTCGGAAATGACACGTGGCATGACAAGATTGGTTAGAATTTCTATCCGAAATTAAATTTTTTTTTTTTATTATTTTATAAAATTTAATATGAATTGACTAGACTCTTGCCCAGCTCATTTTTTAGGAGTGGAGATGCACTTGACCAATTACTGTTCATTGAAGTCAATTACTATTCATTTGGGTGGATTAAATGGACTTTGGGCCAACTCATTTTTTAGGGATGAAGTTGCTCTTAATCGGTAGTAGACACATTTTCTCTCATTTTGCACACTCTTATTTTCTTTTGTCCCTCAATTTTCTTCTAATTCGTTTAATCCGTAGGCCATAAATAACAAGCATGTGCAACAGAAAAACATTGTGCTGAATTCAGTTACACAATTCACTCATTTATAATGAAATCCTTCTCTTCAAATTCAAAATAGGAAGAAAAGAAAGTTTATAATGAAATCATTCTCTTCAAAAAGGAAGAAAAGAAAGTGGTGATTGACAATACAAAAACAGAGCCGTGATAGTGGTTAATATGTTAAGAATTAATTCCACATCAAGAAAAATGGAGATTTGCATGTGCTTATAAGTAGTTAGGCTACTCCATCTATTGTCAATTGATTTTATGGTAGAAGCTCAACTTCTTCATAATAGAATGCTATATTCACACGAAACCGCCCTCGCCTCACCTCGCGTCGCCTTGCCGCGTCATTCCTTGCATTGCAACACCATTTGTTGGTAGACATGCAGAGGAGGCGAGGCTATGAGTCACCCTTCCCCAAAATCTGTTAAAATGCAGCTAAAGATGGTGACTCTTCCAAACTGTTCCAGTATCTGTTCCAGTATCTGTTCAACCATGTCGCTGACTCTCTTGATCTTTAGGCAGCGGTAGACCACGGGATTTTCGGCGCTGGTGGGATTCTGGATGGAAATTGCTGAGAAACATTGTATTCATCTCAATGGCTTGGTAAATAAAATTGAACTCTTCAGTGCTTCATATGTCCATACCATATATATATATATATATGAGTATGTATATAGGAGAGATCCTAGTTTTTGTCAAAATATCTATGGAGATATATTGAAAACAAGAAAAGGAGAAGAGAAAAGAGAGATATGAAAGAATAGATTTCTTATCTGTTTATAAATAAAGAAAAAGAGAAAATAAAAATGAAAGTCCGTACTTGGGGTGTCAATAACTTCTTCAAGTATCTCTAGGAGACTCAATATGAGTCAAACAACAATACAAATGGTTTTGCGGCACTAATATAGTTATTAACATGAAAATTGAAAATCTAATACATGTTTCAGCAAATTTCTCAAATATTTCTAAGATATATATTGTGAGTCCCTACTATCACAACAAATGGTTTTGAAGTACTAAAACGTATTAATCTATCTTGTTGTGTCTACACCATTTGTTCCTTTCTATTAATCTTAGGTTAAAGTTTTATAACTTTAATTAATATTCGAAATAATTTTATAACTTAATATCCGACGTTGATTTCATTATAATGTTAATATAAATTTAACCCTTAAAAACGGATACCATCATCCGAATACCTCCATAGAGAAAGAAAAAAAAAATACCTTCATAAATCCCAAACACTTTATTTTCCGAATATTTTGAAAAAATAAAAATAAAATGAACATGTTTATCTTGTTATTCAAATAAAAGGTGCAAAATTAATTATAAACAAAAATTTGTTTTAACTGCCAACAAGTTTCTCACTTATCTCAACTTTCAGTCAGTTTTATGTACAGTTTAAGAATTTTCTCTCATACTGTTATTCATCCATTTCTCACTTATAACTCATAAAGACAATATGTTTTTTGTACAGTTTAAGAATCTTCCTCCTACTGTTATTCATACATATGCTCAGTCAGTTTTCTGTACTGTTTATGTTTTCTCTCAACTTCCAGTTTTCAGAAAGACATGCTCAATTTTCTACAATTTAAGAATTTTCTCTCATACTATTATTCATCCATTTGTCACTTATCTCAACTTTAAGTGAACTTCAAAAAGGTTTTTTGTACCGTTTAAGAACTTTTTTCTCGTACTATTATTCATCCATTCTCTCTTAGTCTATGTAAAAGCTCTGCTACCTTCTCTAGTATCGATTCTCTTGTGTAAACTCATTTACCACTCATCCCTCTTTTATTACCTAACCCTTTGTCACTGCAAAAAAAAAAAGAGATCGCAAGACGTATAACCTTGCCCGACAATGTGAAATCTTGCCCGCCTCTCTTTGTTTTGTCTTTCAATTAATAGATCTGGTGTTATAAGTATTCCCCAGTATATATTCAAGTCATTTCCAGTCTTTTGATGATCCAAAGTTCCATCAGTTCTCAGATATGGTTCACTTAGTGGTTTTATTGTCATAAGAAGATTAAAAGTGAATTAAAATTGATGACTTGATCAGATCTGAACCTCCACTCTTTAAGCATACAAGATAACGAACTAAAAGTCCTTGATCTCAAGGCATAGTAAAGAACTTAATGTAGACGTAACCCATCTACGACAATCCTTTGATAACAAGAAGTCAGAATAACTTGGGGCACAAGTAATCGGCTTAAATACACTTGTTCTACATCTGCCATACAGAGATGGCAGTGGCATGCCTTAGCACTTAGTTAGTTTTGATTGCAAGCCTCAAGGCATACGTCTAAGGCCCCACAAAGACACATTTCAGAACTAACTTTGTCCTCCTCTTGCAGCATCTCGGCAAGTCAGAGCCCGACAATCAACCAAAGTGCCAACTCCTTAGGAAGCTGTGTGCTCGAGCCAGGGACCTTGCCCAGCCAAATTTCCTGCCCGAATAGGAAGAATACTGATTTGCAGAGCTTGTGTCTGAAAGGGAAGGATTGGCAAATCGCTAAAATCCATCTCTCTATCTCATCTCCCTCTCTATGCAAATCCCTGAAATCCCTCAACAAATCCTCCCATCTCTCTCAGCCCATTCCGTGAGTTTTGGCTGAAGCACAGCCAAACACACAAACATGAACAATGCCTTTTTCAACCTCTACTTTAGAATAGACTGGGAAAACCGTAAATATTTCAAAATCTGTTCTGAGACAAAATTACCCTCCTAACTTTTAATAATTACCTTCCAACTCAACCACAACTTTGATGATAGTGGTGTAAATAAAGCAAAATCGAAACAATTTGATCCCTCCCTAATTTTAGAATAAAGAATGTTTGTAGAGGGGCTTGTAACCCGTATGTGAGGTAAATCATCTAGTTCTTATGAATAGGTTGTTCAAAGCTACATGATTTGAACGCATTGACCTTTTAGTTATGATTTATGGATCATTAAGTTAGTTTCTCAGATATTCGTTGTTCTATCGGTGGTTATTTTGTTTATTGGGGCTTTAATCTTATCTTTTGGTGTTCCAAAGAGCAGTCCATTATTGCTCATTTTAGTGCAAATCTGAATACCGCTCATTGTCTCACTCCTATGAAAAAACAGCATGGTTGTCTTACTTACTTTATGAACTTGGCTTCTCATTGCAGTTTCTAATGCTTCTCTATTTGTGATAACCTCAGCGCCACTTATATAGTTGCCAATTCTGTTTTTTTTGCTCGCACTCGCCATATCGAGCTGATTATCATTTTGTTGAAAAAGTAGTATTGGAAAACCATCGTGATCACTTTGTTCCTTCTGCTAGTCAGCATGCTGATATGCTCACCAAGCCTCTCCACAAGATGTGCCATTGGCCCTTATTGTGAACTCAAAATATATTGTATATTTAAGAACGAATGAAATCATCAGAAATTCTTTTTCTACACTATACGACACCATGTCAAGACTTAATTTCTATAAGAAGTGGTGCATTACCAAATCCTGAAACTATAAAGCAATCTCGAAACCTAATAACAAGAAAACAATCTTTATTTTTATTCCACTAAAAAAACCTTAATAAATTACTATCTACTAAAACCCAGCAAAAAAGCACTGTTTATCGTGTGAGAGAAAGCACTGCTTATTAACAGTGTTTTGACGCTTTTGCCCCTATTTTGTTTTCCCGCACACTATCTTTTGTCAAATTCTACAGTGAAATGACGGAACTGCCCATGAAGGACGCATGTGGATCGTCTGAATGAAAACCTGTCGACACGCTGTGTTGTCGTTCTCTCTCTTCGACAACACTCTTCTTCTCTGACGAAAAATCTCACCAGAGGTCCAGAAACCTCCAGTTCTTCCCATCAAACCAATTCGTCGGTCATACAACGAAGCCGCGGAAGGTTTCTAGGTGCTGTTTTCAGTTTTTGCTTTGGATAGGTGCTGTTTTCAGATTTTGTGCATCTTATTTTCGAAGTGATTCATCGATGCTTTGCACATGTTAGTCTTCTACTCATTTGTTAAGAATTGTGAATAATAGTTGTTAAATATTATGGCATTATAAAATCCTTGCTTCTGTAATTGTGATATGATACAGTATATTTGCTTTATTTAATTATAATTTTCGTGTGATGGAAAATTTTAAATTTGATTTATGTGTGTATGATTTTATCCCTTCTCAGATATCCATCTTTTGGTTGGAGGGACTAAACTTATGGGGTGTGATATCCATGCACCCTTTTTTACCTCTTACACATTTTTTTAATTTTCGACCGTCGGATCGGATGAATTGAAGAAAATCAAAGAATAAAAATCAATAAGGGTGTATGAGAAGTAAAAAATGGTGTGTAGATAGCACACTCCAAACTTATAACATGTGGTATTAATTCTCAAAAATTGTGGCTGTGATTTGGAAACAATCGGTAACTAAAAGCAAAAGGTTTTTTTTTAATCAACTTAATACCGAGGGATTCAAAGAGTATTGTTATAACGTACTGAATTTCATCACCATATCTGAATATACAATTCTTAGGAATGGACGCTCCACTCCTGTGCATTTGTATAAAATTTACTTGATTATCGAATGTTACCATTTCTTACAAAAAAAATTAGAATGGGGCAGGAGTTAGTTTATGTGAGGATTTATGATCCTAAATTCAATGCAGGTTCAAATGAACAAGAGGAACATAAAGGCAAAGAAGAACAGGCAGGTGACAATTACCAACGATGAAGAAGACGGTAATGCCATCGGGCTCAACAGACGGAGCTCCTTCAAGCTTGAGTCCAACAGAGGTTGCACCTCTCAACTTGAGTGGCAAATGAAGAGCTAGAAGGAACATCCACTGATTCCCAAAGCCTCTATGCAAGGGTGAGTGTATAGCCCATACACTACAAATGTTGTTTAGTTGACTTAAATTGGTTATTGTAATTGACTCAAATTTGTTACAAGGTTTCAGGAGACTCTGGTTTTTTTTGGATTTTAAGACAGAAATAGTGAATTTAATTATAAGTTGGTCTCACTCTGCAAAATTTGGTTTCCCTTGCTTCATCTTTTCTTGTAGAAAAATGTAAATTTGATGTCCTAGTTTCCGAAATGTTGTTTAATCTACTGATTAGATTTCTAGGAATTTGATTTCATTGACTTTATGGGCATTTGCATCAATAATCAATAAATTTAAAAAGCCATTGATTGCATGATCTGAGTAACCTTGACACACTGCTCAGGTCAGCTATGGCTTTTGGATGGTTAAGGAATAAGTCGTAAACCTCATATTTTTATTTTTCTCTCTTCTTTCCTCTTTATTTTTTTCTTGGTACAAGTTTTTATTTATTCTTTTATTTTGAAATATTATTCTCTTGGTTCCAGCTCTGAATTCTGGTTGAGGGCTATTTTTGTTGGTATATTTTTGTTGGTATGGGGAAAGTGCTTTTGTGTGTTTTTGTTATCCACCGAGTGTACAGATGTACCAAAAACCCGCTTCACGATCAAGGTTTTTCTTTCTTTTCTTTGTTTGATTCTTGGAATTGAATATAAAGATTAGTTTTTTAGATACCTATTATCTTAATTTTCATATGTTTCCCATTTTGTACCATGTAATAAATCAAATTTGATAATGTGGGTGTGGGGTGCTAGATTTTAGTTAAGATCATGGATTGGTGGTTCTGATTTGAATCATAAAGTGATATTGAACAACTTTTGTCATCTTTATCGATGTAAATGAAACAATACCGTAATATATTTTGCATGTAAATAGCCCAGTGTTTCGTAATTTTTTGTAAGTAGGTAATACCATCTTAAAGTTACAGAAACTACCTAAATGGTATGCGTTGATCTAATCTTTTTTTCATGTATATAAAATCAAATCTATGATTTTTAGAATGTGGTCTGTATTGATAAATGTTTTTTGTGTGTACAAATTTTCCAAATCTTTACAAATGTAAATAGTATTAACTTAACAATATTTTATGTCTTCCAAACATAATCTTTTATACAATTTCTAATCCCGCAGCAACGCGTAGGCTTTGATTTTTAGTAAAATACTAAAAGTACTCTAACATAAAAAATAAAAAATAAACCTAATTCATAACGTCTGGTTTGACATTGCAACTGTTTATCCACCAAATCCTCAAATATGCAATTGATTCCAAACCGGACTGGATCAAAGGTAATAACCCCTTCAAGCTTACAACTAAGGTAATAACCTTTATGTTTCTTTTATCTTTTACTGTGGAGTAATGTTAGAAAAATTAAATTTGGAGATTAAGTTTGTAAATTAGATGATGTGTCATTAATAAAAAATAAACACGTGAATCAACACTTAAATGATAATCTAATCATCAACTTCTATGTAATTTAATTTACAAAATTTTAACTACAAATTTACCTAACATCATCCTTTTTTTAATGATCATCATTTCTCTATTAATATTTGATTTACATGTCATCGGTATTTAAGATTACGTGTCTTACTTTTCTTTCAATTTTTGGCGCTAATTTTGGATGAACCCTTATCCTATCAAGAACTCAATTCCAAGAGTTGGGCTACCCATTGAAGTGAGCGAGAAACGTTTGACCTTCCTCATACCATATACTCTCCTATAATCTTTACCAGAGAAACCAAACCTAAACCCTAAACCCTAAACCCTAATCCCTAATTCCAGATCTGATTTCTCCAGATTATTGTTGCTCCTCCGAGAAGAAACCCACGTCAATGTCAGACTTCCCACCGGAGCTACTGTTCGACATCTTATCAAGGCTTCCGCCCAAGGATTTGATTCGATTCCTCTGTGTTTCCAAAGCTTGGAATGCCATCATCCACCACCACCACTTCATCAAGGCTCATCTTCAACGCTCCATCCAAACCAATTCCTTTCGCACCATTTTAGTCAGGTCAATTGGCTCCCCCTCATCAGATTTTTTTTCATCGGCTTTCGACGGCAGCGAAACGTTCTGGACACCCGTTAAAATTGAGCGGCCGTTGAAATCCCCTGAGAGGTATCAGATACTGGGGTGCTCGATTCATGGAGTGGTTTGCATTTGCAATAGACTCCGTACGAATGTCGCTTTGTGGAACCCGTCAATTCAAAAGTTTAAGACGATTCCCCTCCCAGCCATTGAGCAGCAGCAGCCATCATCAGCTTTACATATATCCCTAGGGTTCGGGTATGATTCAGTTAGTGATGACTTTAAACTTTTGCGAATTGCGGAGCTTGTTAATAGTAAAGGAGTCTTTGTGAGTTCTGAAGTTAGTATTTACAGCCTCAAATTGAACTCATGGAAAAGGATCAAGAACTTGCCTCGCAATGATTTTAGTACACTGAATGTGTATGACACGGCGCTGGTGTTTTCAAATGGTGCTGTGTTGGCTAATGCCTAACAGATTAGATATGTATCGATTCATAATTCTGACCCTTGATCTTGCTACTGAAAAGTATCAGGAATTTGACACCCCGGTGGATGAGGATTACAGTACCGTCATGGAGTTGGAGGTTTTAGGGGGCTCTCTATGTGTTTCTGTTCATGATTGGGACACCGGAAATGATGTTTGGATTATGAAGGATTTTGGAGGACCTTGGACCCTTCTGTATTCTATTAAAAAGGAAACTATGACTTGGTTGCTTAACTATTGCCCACCTTTGGTCTTCGCAAAGAACGGTGAAATAGTTCTTTTGAAGAAGGACGAGGAAGCATTTGTTTGGTTTGATTTAAAGGGAAAAATCGGATACCAAGATAATATTTGCGGTCTGCCACTTCGCTTTGATGCAAAGATTTGCGAGGGCAGCCTTTGTCTTATTGATGGTGATCCCGTGATTGGTGGGAGGCAGTAGTTCTCTTCTACCTCTAATTTCGACCATTGAAGGGAGAAATTTTTTTATCGTGATTGAAACACGAGACGTGTTTTTATGTAAGTGGTGAGAAATTTTATTTTTTAAATTATTAACTTTTTAACGCACATATCCCATCATTTGTATAGTGACACGTGGTGTACCACCTCGTGTGCCGGTTACATTAAAAAATCTCTCATAAGGGTTTGTAGATGTACTCAAAGCAACAAAAGATGACCTTAGGTGGAAGGTGGGTAATTGGCTTGATAGGTTGAAATACAAGTACGTGAACTTATGTGCCTTGCTATGTACTAGGCTTATTGATCTCTCATCTTTTGGCTAAGTGGTTTTTTCTTTATTGTAACAGTATTAGCTAGATAGTTTGCTAGTTGTCAGAATTGTTTTCAAATCAATCGTCACCTTTCTCGTATGTTTGGTTGGTTGGTTTTCTTCTTGTGTCTGAATAACTGATGATGTGCTCCATTTTCCTGGCATCCGATTGACCGTGTTCCATGGTCTTTTCTCTTGATGTTTGTCCAGTTTCTGTTGGGAGCTTTGTAAGCATATTAATATTCGAAGGACAATTAACCATTTACGGATCAAATTAATGACATTCTTCAGATTCCCTTTTGAAAAAGGAACACACATGTTTCGTGCAACCTTGCTGCAAGGGCTTGAACATGCAACGGAACATGAATGTATGATGTTTTCTTGTTTGTCTCTTTTTGAGGGAGGAATGTCGTAGGTTTTTCGTTTAATTCGTTTACAGCACTTCCACCTCTAACAACCCACTCCACCCCACCCAATAGGTTGGTCCAAAGTGGAAGCCAGCTTTAAGGCCAGCACATAATGGACTTAGCAAGAAACCGGCCTATTTGACGCCAGACTGACGTCAGCCATGTGAATTTCTTTTTTTTTTGCCGTTGGCATGTGGGATTCAGGGTGCGCATTCCAGCGTTAAAAAAAAAGTCAGAATCTTAAAGGCCACGTGTCCACTTTTGGCCTTTTGGATTTCATTTTAAAATAAAAGATTTATACACACACACACACACTTAACCATCTTTCACAAAAATTGTACTTTCAGAAATGACACGTGGCATGACAAGATTGGTTAAAATTTCTATTCGAAATTAAATTTTTTTTTTATTTTATAAAATTTAATATGAATTGACTAGACTCTTGCCCAGCTCATTTTTTAAGAGTGGAGATGCACTTTCATTGCAGTCAATTACTATTCATTTGGGTGGATTAAATAGGCTTTGGGCCAACTCATTTTTTAGGAATGAAGTTGCTCTTAATTGGTAGTAGACACATTTTCACTCATTTTGCACACTCTTATTTTCTTTTGTCCCTCAATTTTCTATTAATTCGTTTAATCCGTAGGCCATAAATAACAAGCATGTGCAACAGAAAAACATTGTGTTGAATTCAGTTACATAATTCACTCATTTATAATGAAATCCTTCTCTTCAAATTCAAAATAGGAAGAAAATAAAGTTTATAATGAAATCATTCTCTTCAAAAAGGAAGAAAAGAAAGTGGTGATTGACAATACAAAAACAGAGCCTTTATAGTGGTTAATATGTTAAGAATTAATTCCACATCAAGAAAAAGAGAGATTTGCATGTGCTTATAAGTAGTTGGGCTATACCCTCTATTGCCGATTGATTTTATGGTGGAACCTCAATTTCTTCGTAATAGAATGCTATGATCACACGAAACCGCCCTCGCCTCACCTCGCGTCGCCTTGCCGCGTCATTCCTTGCATTGCAACACCATTTATTGGTAGACATGCAAAGGAGGAGAGGCTATGTAGTCACCCTTCCCCAAAATCTGTTTTACGTTCGAACACTATCTATGGAAAGTGAGTGAAAACTTGTGCAGCAACTCGAGATGGTTTGAGGGCAGTCAAAACTTGTTAAAATGCAGCTAAAGATGGTGACTCTTCCAAACTGTTCCAGTATCTGTTCAACCATGTCGCTGACTCGCTTGATCTTTAGGTAGTGGTAGACCATGGGATTTTCGGGGCTGGCGGGTTTCTGGATGGAAATTGCTGAGAAACATTGTATTCATCTCAATGGCTTGGTAAATAAAATTGAACTCTTCAGTGCTTCATATGTCCATACTATATATATGAGTGTGTATAGGAGAGAGATCCTATTTTTGGTCAAAATATCTATGGAGATATATTGAAAACAAGAAAAAGAGAAGAGAAAAGAGAGATACGAAAGAATAGCTTTCTTATATGTTTATAAATAAAGAAAAAGAGAAAATAAAAATGAAAGTCCGTACTTGTGGGTGTCAATACTTCTTCAAGTATCTCTAATACAAATGGTTTTGAAAATTGAAAATCTAATACATGTTTCAGCAAATTTCTCAAATATTTCTAAGATATATATTGTGAGTCCCTACTATCACAACAAATGGTTTTGAAGTACTAAGACTTATTAATCTATCTTCTTGTGTCTACACCATTTGTTCCTTTCTATTAATCTTAGGTTAAAGTTTTATAACTTTAATTAATATTCGAAATAATTTTATAACTTAATATCCGACGTTGATTTCATTATAATGTTAATATAAATTGAACCCTTAAAAACGGATACCATCACCCAAATACCTCCATAGAGAAAGAAAAAAAATACCTTCATAAATCCCAAACACTTTCTTTTCCGAATATTTTGAAAAAATAAAAATAAAATGATCATGTTTATCTTGTTATTCAAATAAAAGGTGAAAAAATAATTATAAACAAAAACCTGTTTTAACTGTCAACAAGTTTCTCACTTATCTTAATTCTCAGTGAATTTTATGTACAGTTTAAGAATTTTCTCTCATACTGTTATTCATCCATTTGTCATTTATAACTCATAAAGACAATATGTTTTTTTGTACAGTTTAAGAATCTTCCTCCTACTGTTATTCATACATATGCTCAGGCAGTTTTCTGTACCGTTTAAGTTTTCTCTCAACTTCCAATTTTCAGATAGACATGCTCAATTTTCTACAGTTTAAGGATTTTCTCTCCTACTACTATTCATCCATTTATCACTTATCTCAACTTTTAGTGAACTTCAAAAAGGTTTTATGTACCGTTTAAGAATTTTTTTTCTCCTACTATTATTCATCCATTCTCTCTTTATCTCAACTTCTAGTCAACTTCAAAAAGACATACTTAGTCAGTTTTCTGTACAGTTTAAAACTTTACTTTCTTGGTGTTATTCGTCCATTACGATTCATCCCTGAGTTAAATATCCGACGTGAATCTACTATGTCATTGTATTTCGGATTTAATAAAAAAAAATGAAAAATGAGGAAGCAGAACTGGAATTTTGCTCCTCTTCGATTGCAACCTGAGCTAGAAAGCAAACAAAGTTGCAAGCCAAGTGTGTATTAGAGATTTAAACAGTGAGGCTAGCCATCCATGTACACTATATCTCCCGTTCACCATGCCAAGTATTCAAGTCCTAATCCTCCACAAGCCACGTTTCAGTCATGTCTACCTTCCTCCGTCATAAAAGTACCACCACCGTCGAATTAAAAAAAAAAAAAAAAAAAACAGGAAAAAAATTCGAACCAAACCCTTGTGCAGAACAATCTGTCAGGTACTTGGACTAATCCTGCATGTTATGCTGCTCCTGTGAAATATATTGCAGTACCTGTTATTTGCAATAATTATGCGAATGTGAAGGTGGATCAGCCGGAGCAGGGGGGCATGAAAGTGGAGGAGAATATGAGTAGTGGTGTGAACAATGAAGGCATGGATGGGATATTCTGGGGGAAAATGAGCGAGAGCTTTCCGGTGTTTGATGACTCGATATGGACGTAGGCAGCCATGTCGATTGATCTTCCGGTGGTGGCAGATCAAGGGATTTTCGGCGGCGGTTTCACGGATGGAAATTGCTGGGAAACATTGCCTTCGTCTCAGTGGTGCATGATGTAAATCAAACTTGAAGGGAAGGTATAGAGATCAAAAGTGGTGACTTGGTAAATAAAGTTGCACAAGGTACAGTGCTTCATATGTCATAGCATATATATATATATAGTAGGGTGTGTATATATGTATACAGTACAAATAAATGGAAGTGTGTATAAATATCTAAAGGGCTGAAGGTTTGCTGCCTTAATCTTTTTTATTTTTAGTTTTAATTTCAGGAGTGTACTAAGAAAACGTAATGTGCAGGATATTGTAAAAGAGTCGGAGCTTGCAAGGTTTCTTGTATACATAACAATGTTATGTGATGTGTTAACTAATTTAATCTAATTTGAGGCATCGATCTTTTTCGTTTGTCTATATTAATCAAGCGAGCCTTTTGAATTCTAAGTTAACCAGAAGAGCTTTTTGAGTTTGAGTTAGCATAAGCACAATGGTTAATTATGTGAATGATTTTTGTTCTAATGTTTGTGAGTTATCTAATTCAATCTAATCCAAGGGACCATATGAGTCATCTGAATTAGCTGTTGCACAACAGTTGGACTACTTCGCCTATTTCGTCTTATTATGGGATTTAATTCGTTTCTTTTCCTGGTTTGATTCCAAATTTTGATGGATGTTTTTTCTAGTATCATCATCAGGATGTGGAGGGATTTCTCTTCCTATACCTCTTGGGAAGTTTAAGGTTTGAGCTTAATTATCCGTACAACATTTGAGACATTATTTCATCTCTCTCTGTTTTCAATATGTTAATTTGTCCTCTCATTCACCAAGCATCATGTATTTTTGTCAATGTTGGTATTTATTGCCAATTCTGCAAGTGCACTTAATTATTTAATTATTGATTTAACAAAAAAAAATTATTTAATTATTGCAACTGGAGTTGACGAGTCATAATATTATTCTTTATCATATTTGAAGTGTGTCAAAAGGTATAGTAGTTCGACGATTGAGTTCTGATATATAGTTTTGTTCATCCATCTTTCATTCCTTATGCCAGACTAAGCCTTGATGCGTGGTTTCTTATGCTACAGAACTTTGTTTCTTTTTTTGTCTTAAGCATGTACTA